CTAGTGACTTTCCCATGGACTGAATATATAGTTTATACGAGAGATCTGTAGTGAAATATTAAAAAGACGTAGAGGACTTAAGCTGAAAAGGAAGTAAGTAGTATATATACGGCCAGCCAACTTCAAACTTTAGCTGACTACGAACCTCATTAAATTTTACTTAATGACATTTATTTGAATTTATGGACGTTTTAAAAATTTTTTTACTAATCTATGGGCTATGTAAAACAACAATGACATTAATTATAGTTCAGCTAGTGGCATGTACGCAATCAAAATTTAAAATATTTATTGAATCGCAATCAAATTTTGTTATTTATGTTCCCCAAGAAGTCCTAACGGTCTTGTCACAGAGCACCCGGAAAAGGATTTAACCAGGAAGTTCACGCGCCCTTCCTTACTGTGACGCTAAATATATTAAAGGCTCATTTCAAACCCAGATCCCCGGCTTATAAAGCAAGCTCTCTAACCACTAATATATAAATATACCTGGTTTATTTGGACCATGAATCAGTATTATTAACCAGTTTGCCAAAATCGGAAACTTAGTTCCATTTAAGTTAAGGGATAAAAAGCGCCTACTTTGTACCTTATTAAAATGTTAAGGCTTGCAACAAAGATTTCTTTAAAAGATGTTAGCAAATGATTTAAAAGTTTTGAAAATTATAAGCTACTTTCAATATTAAAAAAAAAAATTTATGGAATACGATAAAAAGTTGAATTGTGTTAGTAACATGTTACCAAATAGAAATAGTTAATGTACTAACTTTATCAAATTAAACAATGCATTGGCAAAAATAATGTCGCAATTAAATACGCAAATAATATAAACTTATTTCAAACAATTGTAGGCTAGACTGGGGTAATTTTATCCCCGGGGAAATTCCACCCTCTAAAAAGATATGGAGCAATACAGATAAACTAAAAAAACTTGAACCACTTTTAGCTCATGTTTTTGATTGCCAACTTTCTGTTTCTCACTAAGTATATGCTTCCTGTATCCATACTGATTTAGAAGTTTGTTTATGAAACTTTTTTTGGAAATCCAAAATCATCTTCAATCTAAGTACCATATATGTACTTTAAAATACATTTTAAAATATATTTTTATTGATCATCATACTTTTATTAATCATCATTTATTTTTTGGATGTGTTTAATGTGTACAGAGATGATAAAATTTTTAATTTCACAATTTGAACCTTTGCTTGTAAATATCCTTAGGCAACATGTTAATTTAGTAGTATTAATATCTGTATATGGTATTAGATATATAATTATTCATAATTTCAACCAAGTAAGACAATTTTAGTCATGGGTCAAATCTCACACCTTTTCATGAAAAACTAGGGAAGCGGCAAATGGAGACGAGAGGAAAGGCCATAAAAAAACAGTGTGGTGAAAGCCTCACTTCAGATAAATGCATTGCTAGGTTCACTAAAGAAAATTAGGCTAAAACCAAGCCGAAAATTGTCTTCATTTCAGGTAATACGTTCGAATTTTTTATGAAAACGTGTAGAAATTACCCCTATTTTGTTTTATAAAAAAATATTAAAATGTTTTTTTGTTAAAATTTTATATCAACAGTTTGCTTAAATATGTAAATAAAAGGAATTCTTTTACTATTCTCTTGTTTTTTATTTTATATAGTGGTTTTTAAGGATTTTTTAGAAGTAGTGGATGGATCCAGTATACCCTACCAAGCAACTTTGTTTGATATTATTTTATCCCTTTTGTATTACACTATATGTAACATCTAAAAAAACAAAAATAAAATGTTTAATTTAATTTGATTCACTTACAAGTTAAAAACCTATTTTTAATTGAATATGGTTTGGGACTTTTATTATTACTTGATGTTAGAGCAAAGTAAAGTAAATGCAAATTTTATGCTTTAATATTTAATTTAATATTACATTACTTCCATGTGATTGTGCCCATCAAGACATCAGGGTTGCATACTTCAAAAGAAGCTTTTGAAAAATTGCATTAATTGACCCTTAAGCCTGAGATGAGGGTCAGTTTTATCTGTCCTTTATATGGTTGGCTGATCTGCTTTGAACAAAACATCTTTTGTATCAAAAAAAAAAAATAATAAAAAAAAATAAAAAAAAAAAACATAAATTAAAACATATTAAAATATAATTAAAACATACTTTTAATAAAATATAAAGCTATATAAAATTATATCTTTGTACAGACTTACATATAAATCAAAACTTACATATAAAAAAAAAATATATATATATATATATATATTTATATATACATATAAAGGGGTGATTGATCTTCCCTATATTTAAATACATGCATTCAAATTATAGCTTATTTAATAATGTATGTTGTTCTCCTTTCAAATTAAAATTTGTAAAAATAAAACTTTTAAATCACATCATTGGTTACTAGTTTGAGCTTAAAAGCCATAAAAAAAATTGTAAACTAAATGTTTTACATATTTATCTGAACTCATAACTTCAAAACAAAGTAGAAGATCAACAGATAGTAAGTTTGTTTGGTTTAAAATTTGAACCTTGCTTGACATAAAGTATTGGATCATATCTGCAATTTGTATTTGGAACAGCAATCTATATTAAACAAAAAGTAGACCATTTTCAGGTGCTTGCTTGACTAAACTTTAAATGATCTTAAATTACTTTATCACAATTGCTATTGGCGTTGAACTAAATTTCCATTTCCAAATTCATATACTTGTTTATGAACAAAAAGTAAATGAACAACAACAGAACATAAATTTATACATACACTATTTTGCAAACTTTTTATTTTAAGCTTCGTTAAAAGTAGATTTGTTAACTTGCTATAAAACTGTATACTTTTTATAAACTTTTTTCCTGCCAATTTAGATGGGGAACATTGTAAAAATTGATCAAACCAAAAGATACACAAAAATATTATCGAAAACATGATGCATATTTTTCTTTAATTTGAAAATCTTTAGTTTTCTTTTCTTGCACACAAAAACTTTAATACTTTTTGAAAAAAAAATGTTCTTCAAAAATACACCAGAATTCAATATGTTATTTTCATTTGTATATACCCTGTGTATAACAGGTTGATTTTTAAATTGGCTAAAATATAAACCATCACCATAGCTTTAGAGATAGCAATTACAATTGTATAAACCTGGATAATATAATGATATTATGATTTTATTATTTATGATATTATACTATAAAAATACCTATAATAATTATAGGTATTTTTATTGTTATTATTTTCATTATTATTACTGTTATTATAAAATAAATGTTGCTCCTATTGCTTTTATTTGTTGTTGTTGTTTGCATAAAGTTTCTTATCATAGTAGAAGCACTAAGATTAACAAATAAAGATAAAACTCAAGAATGTGCTTGTTATAACTTTAGAAATAATTCCTTAGCTATCCTCACAAAATGACTAATAAACAAACCAACTACAGTAAACATGTTATGATTTAGTTTTCTTTATTATCAAAATATCTTAACAATCGCGGTTCACTTTGATATTATGATCACAAATAATATTCTAATATCATGATTTAAATATAAATTGTATAAAAACATTTGTATTATAGTATAAAATCATGTTTCACAAATTTTGTATTGAGTTACTATTTGATAAAAACATTTTACCACGCATGACCAATAATTAAATATTCACATAAAACCATTGCATAAAACAAATAATTTAACAATGCTTTTTGCATCTTAAATACTTAATTATTCGCCAAAAAATAAACATTACGTCACCTAACTTTACGCTATGGAATCATGTTTCTACCAAGTGGAAATAAGTGATAAGATAAACAAATTAGTTATTAAGATATCTAATAATAACTTTGCAATTTTTAAAAATTTGCTTTTAAAACAAGAATAAGATATATAAAAATATACAGATTTTTCTCTAAAAATAGGTTTGCAAATAAATAAAAATATCATCCTATAGCTGGATGATGGATTAGAAACTTCAACAACTTTACACAGTATTAAAGATTTAGATGAACTAATGATTGACTTAGATTAAATCAAAGTGTGTAGCATATAATAATATTCGTGAAACAAAAGTATTACATTCTACTTTATTTTACAAACAAACAAAACACTATATACATATTAAACAAATGTGTATATATATATTATATATATATATATATATATATATATATATATATATATATATATATATATATATATATATATATATATATATACATATATATATATACATATATATATATATATATATAAATATATATATATATATATATATATATATATATATATATATATATATATATATATAAATATATATATATATATATATATATATATATATATATATATATATATATATATATATATATATATATATATATATATACCGTAGATGGGGGTAACTAAAGCCACTTTCAAAATTCAAACTTCTGCCCAAGTCAGACCCTTTAATTTATAGGTTAAATAAATATTGCAAAACTTGGGTCTGTGGTCATATATTAAAGAAATATATTCATAAATTGCAGAAATATACATTTTTTTAATAAAAAAATGAAAACATGGTGGCTTTAGTTACCCCTGAAAAAGGGGTAACAAAAGCCATCCATTAAAAAGCAATGTTTGGCTTTAGTTAGAGAGTGCTAGGGTAACTAAATCTATAAATCATCCATCTGTAACAATAATGAACCACTATTGACAAGAAAAAAGCTTTATTATTTAAGAAAAACATTAAAAAGAGACAAAAATATTATTTAAAATAGGTCTTGTTGAAATCAGTGCTTTACCGGTAGTTCATAAGGAAAAGTATAACGTCCTCTGTTTACTTTGGATGGTTTCACAATTGAAATGACGTCTGTTAACGTCATTTCAATTGTGAAACCATGAAACCATGTTGGAAATATATAGTCATTTCCTTTTGATTTGGAGCTTCTTCTGAAAAACTTTACTGTAACTTCGTTCTTCTCAAAACAAGTTCTAAGAATGACTCCATAGAACTGTTTGGTGGTTTCTTTTTTTGTGTTCTTATCAAAGATGAGCTCAACAATGGTGTAAATATCAGGTTTAAGTTCTCCTTTAGAGAGTCCTATTTTGGGGGGTTCGTCATAAGTTGTTTCTTCTAGTTGTAGATCTACTGGTATCTCCGATTCTAGGTCACTAAATGTTTCTGGATCCATATCTGAATTAGAGTCTCTCAAAAAATACTGGTCATCACTATCATCAAATGAGTCGGAATTCGCAAGTTTCTTATTATGTTTCAAAGTCTTTAGTTTGCTGTGGTTTTCCTTTGTTTTGGTATTGGGTGTATTGGACCTATTTGGTTGAGGATCATCATCATTGATCAGAATTGTGTCTTCAATCCCTTCAATCCCCCTTCCTGCTGGGACATTAAGTTTCCTTTTCTTCCGCTGTTTAAGAGGTTCGGTCTCTCTTCCTACTTTCTTCAAAAAAGGCTTTGATAGAATCAGTCCAGTTGTTGCTTGAATTAAGCTCTTCAGATACTGCAGTGGCATCACCATCAGGAAGCCTTTTCAGAATTTCATTTCGGTCTAAAGGTACAATACCAGCTGCCTTAAATTCACTTTTTAAGTTTTTGCTTATATTTTCCTCTCCCAAAGCATCAAGGCACTTTTTCAGAAGTCTTGGAAACCTGTCTTTAGGAATAGAGCCACGATTAGCCTCTTTCCACTCTGTCAAAAGCCGCCTTTATGATGTGGTTTTAGTTACCCCATGTTGTGTATCACTGAAAAAAAAAACATCACAACAAAAGAAAGAATCAAGTTATAGGTTATAACCTTTAAAGGTGTGATTAAACATAAATTGAGGTTATGTTTGTTGAGAGTTATGAGAATTTAAGATTAAAAATGATTTGTTCAGAGCAGAATTTATGCAAGGTAACTTTTTTATCAATTTTTTAGGTTAAATATATAGTTTTACTGTACACTTACCGTGATATTGTTTTAATAATCCAGACAACTATTTGGAAAGCAGTCCAAGTTCCTATGAGAAGAACACAACATCAGCTGTTGAATCCAAACAGTGCTGCCACTATCACCATCCAAAAATTACCTGCTATAATGGCTTTAGTTTCCCCGTAGGCTTTAGTTACCCCCATCTACGATATATATATATATATATATATATATATATATATATATATATATATATATATATATATATATATATATATATATATATATATATATATATATATATATATGTAGAAATAGTGACATTATTCATTTCTTGTTTTTATATTGCTTTTATATTGTTTTATATTGTTGTTGTTTAAACTTATTGTTATTTCATTTTGAAACTAACATTGTTTAAGATATAATTATAATTGAGAACAACGACTAACTTTTGTTTATGTTAGCTTATTACGCATTCTATGGAATTTTAAAGAAACACTGGTATTTCAAAGATAAAAACTTCTTATCAGTGGTTGAAATTGTAATTCACTTACATATTCGTTTGAAGTTGTTAATGTACACACAAAAGGTAGGATTTTGCTAAACTTTTTCTTTCCTACATTATGTCCACAATAAGCTTACCTTGCCAGGCCCCAGGATGCAATGTCGTCATTGAAGGTCCCAGCGAAGCAATTGCAATTGCATTATTCAACAGTCACCAGCTTTACCATCCTCCAAACTCGATTGACACTCATTCAGCCTTCTCAAAACACAAGGCACCTAAAATGGATCGCCCCCACATCGGTCAGGATATCTCAGAAGAAGAGTGTGCAAACTTTATTAGTCGCTGGACATTGTTTAAGAGATGTACAGACATCAGACAAGAAGAGATGACAGCACAGCTGTTTCAGTGCTGTGAGGACGACCTTGGAAATTAACTCCTAAAAGAAAATCCTATGATAATTAATGAAAACGATGAGGCATTTCTAAAAGCAATGAAAAAACTGGCTGTTATCCCAGTAGCCACTTGCGTCAGAAGAGCAGAACTCCTTCAAATCAGACAGGGACACAACGAAAGTATTCGGTCATTTTATGCAAAGCTGAAAGGCAAGGCTGCTACTTGCAACTACACTGTTTAATGCCACTGCCACCCACAAACAACTGTTGATTTTACCGATGTTATCATACAAAACATTGTTGTTGCTGGGCTATCAGACACTGACATCCGCAAAGATGTACTTGGATGGGTCTCCCTTGACACAGCCACAGTCACAGATATCATTGCTTTTATAGAGTGTAAAGAAATGGCACGAAATGCACTAGGCTGAAGTTCAACAACAGCAAGTGTATCAACTTTCAGGAAACAAAACAAGAGCAATACACAGAGTAGTAAAGGGACCAATATAACAGCCAAATGTCCAGATTGCTCAGAATCTTACAGTTTATTTACAGAAACATCCAGAGGATGGAACAAAAAACCCCACAAGCTGTGTCTAGACTGTTGGAAGAAGCTCAGATCTCGCACTACTAAAATTAACAACAGAATTATCCCAAATGATAAGAAATCGAATGCAACCAAAGATGCTGAGGCAGGCGGACTTGTGTTAAAGTTAAGTGCAATTGAGCATTCAAATAAAAAAGTTAGATCACAAATGAAGACCAATGTGAAACGACCCTGCACAGGAATAAACCATCACATATTTACCCATGATGGATGGGCCACAGCTCAATTGCTTGTTCATCCTACAATTCAGCTGCGTGTGACTACTAACAAATCAGACTATGATCAGATTTGTTGCATTTAATGTGCCAAGGTCTGGTGCAAATATTAGATGCTTCTGCTAATGTTCTTATTCAAGAATGAAATATTTTGGAACAAGTGCTAATAGAAATATTAAAAAAAACGACTAGCAAGATTTTTGTTAAATGATCCTAATTGAAGTTTCATTAAAGTCAGCAGTTCTTTTAACAGAAACAGAATTAAATTGTTTTTTAACATAAGGGCTAATAAAGTCATGCACTTTATTAAATAAATCTAAAGAACCAAGATTTGTATAGAACATAACATTACTGTTTGATAGAAGTTTCTTATATACAGATAAAGGCTTAGTTGGTTGCATTATTTTGTTTTGAAGTTTAATATTTTCAGCTTTTAATTTCTTAATTTCTAAATAACAGTTGATAATTAAAGCATAGAGTGCTAAAATTAAAAAGACCGTTTGAGTCAAAATAATTGAATTTAATTGAATTTTTTTTTCTTTCAGTATTTGATACAAACTGACTTTTAGATGCTAAAGTAACAAGATCGTCTGTCAATATTTCTGAAGAAAAAACAGGAAAAACTTTATTATGCATTACCAAAGATTTTTCGCTAATGTTTGTTTGGATTTTAGTTTTAAAAGTAGAGTTCTTTAAACTGTTTTTTTAAACATTTTAGCATTTATTTTATTAACTGCTGTAATCACATATGCATTTTTACAAGTAGAGGCGGATATAGTGGCTGTTTTTATTGAAAATGAATCAGAAATTATGTTGTTATTTCGTTTATTTATTGGTCGATTACAATTAGATGAAACAGAAGGAGCAAATTATTATTTTATTTAATGCGTTGTATTCCAATAGTTCTGTAGGATATTTAAATTTTTCATGAATAAAATGTTCCGAACAAATTCTACTGTAATTAGAAGCTTCCTATTGAGATTTGTCTGAATTTACCTGATTTATCAATTTTTTTCAAATGGATTGACGCTCTGGGTCTTTTTCTTCAGTAGGAAAAGGAATACGTTTAAATGGTTCAGAACAGCAGCAATTAGGATCTTATTTTGAACATTTATGAATTTCACAAATAGCTTTTTTCCACTTTTTAAATTTGGTTGAGTGATTGGAACAACCAATGACAACACAAGAAAGTGATGTAGCCATATTAAGCAAAAAATTAAACTAATATAAACAAAATCTAATGTTACTTCTGATGCTGTTTGTTTATTTTATTTATTCTATACTACTTTTTTGTGTAAAATACGCACGAAAGATTCGAGTTTCTTATTATTCCGGAATTTAAAAAATTTCGAATATCGTCTGTTTTAACTCCTTTAACTCCTAGTTTTGCGCATAATAAATTTTGAACTTTTTCCACAGTTTCATCCCAGGTTTCATTTACAGTTTTACTGCATCTTTCGTTTAAAATTTTAATAATATTTAGGGTTTCAATTTCTTTAACAGCTTTCATAATTTGGTCTATTAAATGCTCATGAAAATTTAAACTTTCTTTTAAGTCCTTTATATCGTTTTCCAGTAAAAGGGTTATATTGATAAAGAAAGAGAAAAAGAGGGAGTAGACTCTTGTATTTCAGGAAAATTTAATTAAATTGTTTTAAACTTTGAAGCTTGGTTTCTCAATTGTATTTTATTGCCTGACTGCGAAAAGCGAATCATTCATATATTTGCATATCTAATTAAAAAATTAGATATGCAATTGAGTTCAAATTTTCAGGGTTGTTTCTTAATAGATAAAACTGCAATAGCTTACTAGAACTAGCTTAAACTTGTTTCTATTTGAATATTTTGATATTTTACCTTTGGTTTTTGTATCAATAATTTCCTTTAAAATTGAAAATGTTGTTTCCTTTTTCATTGATTTTTTTGCATTTTATGCTAATTCAGCAAAAAATAAAAGTTCAATTAATTTTTTTTAACATTTTTAATTATATTAAAAAGTATGCTTTATTTAAATTAATTTTGGGATATGATCAAGTTGGCAATCAAAATATAAATAGCCTTCCAATTAAGTAGCCTTTAAGGTGGTTATTAAGTAAAAAAAATTTTTACCTGATAACCACCTTAAAGGCTACTTAATTGGATAAAAAAAAAATTTTTCTAACAGAACACACAGAAATTAGTAAGTTAATTTTTTAACAGAACACACAGAAATTTAACAGAATCTAGTTGTCATGGTCTCCGCTACTTGGTTACCAGTCACTAATGATCTCCCGCAAGAATATGTTCTAAGGATATAAATCCACACCAATTATATTACAACTGGGGCTTGCATCTTAACTACACAAAGTGTCTAATACACTTCAACACAATCAAAAATCCCAACCACCTATACTATAGTAATTGTGGTTGAGATTTTTGATTCTGTTGAAAACATCAAAACTTAACTCTGTCCTCGGTCAACTAAACAAAGCCTTTATCTATAAAAACGTAGTCTGGAATATATAAGTCCGGAAGAAACTTCAAACATCGCTGGTCAGACCTCATCTCGGGTATGCTGTTCATGTATAGTATTATTTTTTTGCACACTACGTTAAAAAACTTAAAAAAATTCAAACTTGCGTCACTAAAGAAATTCCGCTTCTTTGAGCGTTATCTGGCGAAATCAGATTATCACGACTTAATCTCACCTCACTAAATAAAAGACGCAATAAAAGTGATTTAATTTACAACTTCAGGTTTAGAAAATGTTTGTCGCTTAGAAAATATTTATTGGCTTAACCCACAAATTTGCTATATATTTGTTCGAATAACCTGAGGACTCTCTCAGCGTCTCTTCAATGCTTCTGACCTCAACAACAATATACGACCCATCTCTACTATACTAGACTATTTACCCCAAGTTTTTTTATTTTCAACATATTTCTAAACAAAAAATATTATTATTGGAAATTAAATATGTAATTTAACAAAGATTAAAATATCTTTTTATATAGGTTTAAACATATGCCGAACAAAGATGCCCCATTTGCATTGGGCTGACCTACCCCGTCGTAATGTTTAGAGTATAATCGCGTTTATTTCTTAAACCATGAACTATCTTTATTTTTTTCGGAAAGAGGTTGAAACCAACCTTTACCTAAATTCCCAGCTCGCAAAACGCATATTCTTTGAATAAACTCGACTGGGTCAACCTAGCCCTATAACCAACTTGCCCCGGTTTACCTTATCAATAGAAAAAGCAAAATTTAATTGTAAGAATATTTCGTTGTTACGAGAACTCCATATTTACAATACTACCCATATAATTTATAAAAATGATAAAAACGAAATATAAAATTTACTAAAAATCCATTAAATAGACCTTTGTTTGAATTAAAGGATAGCATTTAATCTTCTTCAGCCAAACATTTTCGATAACTTAAAATGTTTATTAGATGAGTGTGAGCAGGTACCTTACCAAATACCGCTAATTCACAGCGCAGTTCAAGGCGTGTTACCTCACCTAATAGTGATATTGTCTTGTTCGAATTAACGTGATACCGCCTCGTTGGAATTAACGTAATTTCGCTTCATCAGAGTGAAATCAGAAAGTCACTAATGTCACGTCACAAAGAAAGAAAACAAATTTTCATCGCATGATTCATCCACTAAATATATACCATTCTCTTTGCATTTAGATAATATCGTATCAAGAACATCGTTGAGTTTGTCACTATCTTTTGCGTTGGTAATCTCGAACTTCAAATACTAAAATTATAGTAGCATAAAATATCGAAATATTATTAAAAAGTACATGTACAATATAATAGCAACAACAAAAAAATAATTTAAAAGAGCATTAACTAAAAAATTTATCAATTCAAGTAGGAAATATGAATAAATTTTTTTTAAATCTTTCATTATTAAAAATAAAAACTTTAGAACTGGCGTTTAATACGTATCCAGCAAAATACTGCATGATCGTATTAGGAAAATTAAGAAATAATCAGTGCATAATTCATCAATAAAGACGACAATAATGACGTCATTGCTGACAAATTTCCAGAAATTGTCTACTGACTTCTTTCCATAGCAACGAAATAAACGGCAACGACTTGATAGCTTCGCCAAACAACCAACGAGCCTAGAATATATATTCCAAAACAAAACATAAAATCAAAAACAAATAAATAAAAGATTTATAAACAACAAGATTCGGATTTTAATCAACGGTTACGGTTTTTAATTTTAAGTTACGGTTTAGCTTCAGTGTGCTTGGCTCTCAAAAAATTATGACAGCTCTTACGTACCAAACTTACGAACCAAAGAAAGATATAATAATAAAATACTCAACACCAAAACTTGTGTCGTTACAAAGACGGCCTTTGTAGGAAATAAAGAAAGTTAATATAATGTAAATCGATATTAAAACAAACGTAAAAAATATATACCTCCTGGATGTTGTCACATTTAAGCTCAATTTGGATGGCCCTTAGTTAAGAAAAACGAAAGGCTATTTATTGAAAACCGGGTACCCAAAGAAAAAACAAACAAAAAAAAAAGTGTGTGTGTGTATATATATATATATATATATATATATATATATATATATATATATATATATATATATATATATATACACACACACACACACATAAACATATACACACACACAAACATTTATAATAAATAATAATAATAATAAATATAAAAACTCGGATGAAAAATGAAAAACGACGAAAAGCTGCAAGATTGGGTGTTTGACTCACATGCGCCATAACGGTAAAAACTTTGGAAAATCGTCTAAAACAGCCCCACAAATAAAACGTGCTTGATTATAATTCTTTTGATCAAATTCAAACTGGGAAACTCTAAATCAAAAGAGCTTAATTACACCATAGATATGAAAATACTAAAATGAGTCTAGAATCTTTTTAAATGTAATAATTACCTTAATGCATGATAAACATTGTCTGGCATGAGTTGGAGAGTCTTTTGAAAAAACTGTGCATGAGCATCGAGATTTATATAAGGCAGACACAAATCCAACAACTTATGAAAATAAAATTATAAATATGGTCATAAACCCAAAGCTATACACATATATCAATATATTCACTAACACACAAGATGGAAATCAAACGAATTATGACTCTGCAAAAAGCAGATTATTAACCAACTAAATTAAATTTTTACAAAATAAATAAATCATAAAAAATCAGGTAACTTACATTATCTACAAAGAACTCGATCAAAAAGTAAAAAAAGTTATAAAATTAAATCCATCATACACCACTATATACATATTTAAACTAAACATATTTAATTAAAAAAACTTATTATTGAATGTGTTGTTAAGTGAATAATGATATATATATATATATATATATATATATATATATATATATATATATATATATATATATATATATATATATATATATATATATATATATATATATATATATATATATATATATATATATATATATATATATATATATATATATATATATATATATATATATATATATATATATATATATATATATATATATATATATATATATATATATACACACACACACACACACACACACACATAGAGTTCTCGAAGTGAGGCGGGATGCCATCCCGTCACCTTTTTATAAAGTATAAACCATCCCGACACTTTTTTATATATCTTTATATATAACAATGATTAGGCGCGATGGTATTTTTAATTTACCGAATACCATCCCGTTACTTTTTTTCTCCACTTTGAGCACTTCAATGACCTTTTTTTCCTTAAAGTAATAGAACAATTTCGATAAAAACCTTCAATATTTTTTAGAACAATGACAATAAATATTCCTAATATCGCAAAACCGCGGTAAAAACAATATTGCTGGCTAACACTTTGAGTGTGTCTGTGAGTGCTCTACTTTGTAGAATACATTAAAAATTATACACACACTGGTGTGTAGTGTTCCCGTAGGTCATGTGATTTTTTAAATGTTGCCATTATGAGGATAAAAAAACACATTGTTTGCAGTATTAATTTCAATGCCATTTGTAACTAGATAATTAGTTTTAATTAGATTTTTATATCAACGTGGTATAATAATCAACATTTTTTATATTTTAAAAATCAATATCAAGTTTTAAAACTATACTAACTATAAAGAAATGTCATACTCCAAGTCACTAGATCTGACTTTCAAAAACAGATATAATCAAAAATTTTTCTTAAAAGGCATAGATACTTACTCAACTCCAGATAGCGAATTCAAAAACAATGAAGAAACCCTTCCAGCTGTAACTTATGCTGATTTATTAAATCATCCATTATTTTCACTAAGTTCTTATTCAGCTGAGGATATGAAGGCCTATAAAAGCTTGGAAGCGTATAATTAAGTGGAAGAAGGTTAGTTCAGGAATGCAGGAGCTATTAGCATAGGATGTTTGCAAATTGTTATAGGAAAGATAATCATGTAATATAATTGGTAATGCATGGTACATATAATTGTATATATTTATAATATTATCCAACTCATTTTGAGTAATGTTATTTGGATGGTTATATATATTTAGTATGTTATAATTATAATTTATATAAATATTACTTTTAAGTTGCAGAACTTAATGGTAAAACTATATATGCACACTGTAATTGCATGGCAGGCCTCGCTGAAGCATGTGTTCATAATGGTGCAGTTATATTTGTATTGCAAAAACTGTTTAAGGGTGAGAATCTAAAACAGTAACTAACTATGAATCTTAATGGTTACCACCAAACTTACTAGCACAGTTAACATTAAAATGCTTGCTTTATTAAACAAAACTATTGGAAAAACAAGTTGATACTAAAAATAAAGCAATTGTTTTCTATTTGCAAGTACGGGGTAACCTGATACATCATTTATGGAAAGAGAAAGGCAAAACTGTAAAATAGTACTCTATTGTGTTATAAACAATCCTAAAAATCATTTCTTTTAATATTTAAACTCAATTTTAAGGAGAATAGTATAAATATAATACTAGAAGTTCCAATATCTATACAAAGCCTTCATTTATTGACGCTTAAGAATGACATTTAAAAAAATATATTACCAGCAGTTCTAAAATGTGACCTTTAGATGCATTATTTAGATTATTAATTTGTTTGTCTTTTAAGTAAAAAATCTGGCTTTTCTCTAAGTTTAATAATACTCTTTATTTAATTTTTTAATGATGGTAATAGGTTGTATCAAGGTACCCCATGGGTAGGGTACCTAGACAAAATTCTAATTTTACTTTAAATAATTTCACAAATTTAAACTGTTATGTTTTGGTAATAAATTTAATTTTGTAGGTATAAATATATTCTGCAAATTAAACCAATCACCTAAAAAAAAGTGTATTAAAAAAATTGTTGTGAAACAAAAACCAAAGTGTTCATAATGCCCCACTCTCACTCTAATAAATCAACTGGTATCAAGTCAAAAGAAATGAGACCATCATAATTTACAATTCCAGGAAATCTAAAACAAATTTAATATCTGTTTTTTTTCTTCTATCAGTGAGCAACTAAACACTACTCTAAAAAAAACCATTTCAATTTATAATTTATAACATTTATTATGTGATATAGTTGTTTTTTTTTTCAATCAGTGAGCAACTAAACACTACTCTAAAAGAAACCATTTTAATTTATAATTTATAACATTTATTATGTGATATAACTGATATTTTATAAAGTGTGTGCGATAAAACGCTCGTCTAAAAATCTATTTAAAAATCAAAATGATATATTTATAATATCAACTTTTTACATTTTATCCTCTCATTATGGAAACATTTCTTGAGTCATGTGAGTGATGGGAAATCTCTCTCTCTCTTTATATATATATATATATATATATATATATATATATATATATATATATATATATATATATATATATATATATATATATATATATATATATATATATATAAAACAATAAAAATTAAAATCATTCACCTTTTTTATTACAAAGTTAAAAAACATTCCAGTCTTTTAATTTGTATTTTTGTGATTTTTTAAAAAACAATAAAATTTAATTAGTTTCCTCAATATAATTTCATGAAGTGTATTTAACTTTAAACACAAGAAGTTTTTAAGTGCCATTTTTTACCACAAACAGTAAACTCAGATTTCAAACTATAGCAAAAAATATATATATATAGAAATATATATAGAATATACAGTAGCGTCCAAAAGTTTGCGGACAGGCAAAAAAATAAGGAATTTTACTTAAATTTCAGCACATTATATACCAATTAAAAGGTTTCCAAGTTAACAATTATGTTTTGAGCAAATAATATTTATTTATCATTTTAAAATTGGTTAACAAAATGGCGATTTTTGATAAGTTTAAAAGTTATTTTTGATAAGTTTAAAAGGTTTCCAAGTTAACAATTATGTTTTGAGCAAATAATATTTATTTATCATTTTAAAATTGGTTAACAAAATGGCGATTTTTGATAAGTTTAAAAGTTATTTTTGATAAGTTTAAAAGGTTTCCAAGTTAACAATTATGTTTTGAGCAAATAATATTTAATTATCATTTTAAAATTGGTTAACAAAATGGCGATTTTTGATAAGTTTAAAAGTTTGCGGACAAACTAACGCTTTTAACATTTTCACCACAAAATAGCTAATTTGTTGATTTTATAAACAAATACTTTGTGGAAATAATTTCAAAACTTTATATATAAGTGATTGAGATCATGGGATCTAAGAAATGTATTTCATCTCCAGTAAAAAAATTGATCTTGAGATCAGTTCAGAATGGAAACTCGTTTCGTAAAACAGCACAGCTTTATGGAGTTGGTAAATCTGCTGTTGGACAAATTATGAAGAGATTTGAGCTTACTAGATCTACAAAGAATAAAAATCAATCAGGAAGGCCACGCAAAACAATGCGTTATCAGGATAAAAAGCTTGTAATACTAAGCAAAGAAAATCCCCAGTTGACAGCTGTCGATTTAAATGTACAAATGAGACGTTTCTATGGAATGAATTGTAGTATTTCTACTATAAAACGTCGTTTACGTCACGCTAATTTGTTTGGAAGACGCCCAGCTAAAAAACCATTAGTTTCCTTGAAAAACCGTAACGCCCGAATGGAATTTGCATCAAAACATCTAAAGTGGAGTAGTCAAAAATGGTCAAAAATTCTTTTTAGTGACAAAAGCAAATTTATGTTGTTTGGATCCGATGGAATCAGGTATGTTCGACGTCCAGTAGGTACTAGGTACAATCCTAAATACCAACTGCCTACCGTAAAACAAGGAGGAGGTAATGTAATGGTTTGGGGATGTTTTAGCCGAAATGGAGTTGGTCCTCTCCATAGAATTAACGAGAATATGAATCAAGAAAAGTACAAAGATATATGTAAGACTATTATGTTACATATGCAAAGGATAAAATGCCTCGAGGATGGATTTACCAACAGGATAACGATCCCAAACATACAGCTAAATCGGTTTTAGAGTTTTTTAAAGAGAGTAAAGTTAATGTTTTGAAGTGGCCATCCCAATCACCTGACTTAAATCCCATTGAACATCTATGGGAACATTTTGACCGTCAAATGAAAGGAATTAAGCCTACAAATTATGCTGATTTATTTAATAAAATCAAAGACTTAATTCCCATTGATGTTTGCATTAATTTAGTTGACTCTATGCCTCATGAATGCCAAGCTATTCTTGATTATAAAGGATATCCTACAAAATACTAATGTGATTTTGCTTTTGCAAAAATTTTGATCAAATATTGTTTAAATATTTTAACTATTTAAAAAAATAATGCTTTGTCTGCAAATTTTTGAACTTATCAAAGACCGTTGATTTGTATACCAATTTAAAAATACTATTTAGATAATAATTATTTGTTCAAAACCTAATTGTAAATTTGAAAACCTTTTAATTGGTATATAATATGTTGGCTTTAGTAAAGTATGTGCTGAAATATAATTAAAATTCCTTATTTTTTTGCCTGTCCGCAAACTTTTGGACGCTACTGTATATTTAGAAAACTTCAATTTTGGCCAAAACTTTTAATTTTCATCAAAACCATTTTATTTGTTCAACATTTTTGTCAGTTTTAGCAATAATTATGCAGCCATTTTTCAAAACAGCCTAAAATGCTTATTACACATTTTGAGAATTAAATGCAATGAAAAAAATATCACTAGAAACTCTTTGGCAAAACACTTTTGAAACTAATATTTTTTATGAACTTTGTTATGTTTCTCTAAAAATATTTATTAAATGTTTGTAGGCAACAAAACTGGCTAAAAAAATTAGCTGTAAAAATTTCAAAATTGATTTTTTTTACTTTAAGGCGTTTTGAAAAATGGCTGAAGAATTACAATTTAAAATCCAACCAATTCTTTTTTTCAAAAAGTTCACCTTAAAATTTCACCAAAACAAACACATAAACCAGCACAAAATAGTCACTACCTAAAGAATAAATGAACTTTTCTCAGAGATTATACTGCACATTTTAGACCTTTTATATTATTTTATAAAACTTTCAGAAGTTTAATAAAAATAAGCAGTCAATAAGTTAATGGCTGTAATAAAAATCTATTTATAATAGTTTTATTTTTAATATGTTTTGTTTTAATGGTTTTTTTTTCTTATATAAAAGTACACTGAATACACAAATAAAATTTATCTGAGATATTTTTGGTGTAACTTTGTGTTATTAAAACGTTTAAACAGAGTCTTAAGATAAAAACAAAAAAGTTTAAAAGCTTATTTTTACATTGAAATTTTTGTTTTGTTTTAATTGATTTAATAGTAATGATCATTTTATCTAATGTTTATACAAATATTGTATAGGTTTCAGCTATACATTTATTCAACCAAATTTGTGTGTGTATAACACACACACACACACACACACACACACACACACACATTATACATGTATATATTTAACTAAATAGACCTTGTTATGAAATGAATAATCTTTCCAGTGTATACTATGAACTGCAACTTCACTAGCTGCTACAGAAGCCAAACATCGATAAAGAAGATCTGGAAATTTATCATTGCTTTCACGTGAAGAATTTAAAAAACATAATTTATGCTTGATGTAAGCAAGCCACAATTTCTTAGTATTCTGACGAGATGTATAACGATGAACTGCAAACTCAAATGCTTCATCCACAGCAGTGGAAAAAATATGCAAAGTTGGAGAAACATTTTTGATCTTCAAAACAAGACTAAAATCATAGTAGTATTACAAATATGTTAGAATAAAACATAAATAAAAATTTACAGAATAAAAAATAATGTACCAATAACACATCCAGCAATAAAATATCAGATGTTCAGATATCTTTGAAATGTATGTTGGTAAAGTAATTGAATATGGAATAGAAAGTCCAAGTATCTTTTGATACAAATATAAGACATCAGGAAGATCTTCACCATCATTTGCTAACTCGAAATACATATGTACACATTTGGTTAGTTTTTCTAAAGCCAATTTTGGCAAGTTCTAAAATTATAAATGATGAAACTTATCATAACAATTTACTAGTAAAGGCAATATCTGTACTTTATTATTTATTATATATTATTTTAAATATAACCTAGTGTTTATATAATAATTATGTACACACCAGAAAGTTCCAATTTGTAAATAGAGTAATTTCAAATCAACTTTGTAAACTTTGCAAACATTTTTAACCCATAATTCTTTTTTTTTTGTCATATTTAAAAAAACTAATAAAAATCTTTTAAATTTTTATTCTTTTAAATTTTGAACATCCGATGGATCATTTAAATATTTGGTTAGTACAATTTTTTTTGTCAAGAAGCTCAAATTTAAAAAAGTGCTTTTTTAAAAACTAGAAATCTTTTGCCAGAATGAACAAAAACTATTAAGTGTAAAAAAAGCAATCAGATAAAAAAAACCAATCAGATAAAAAAACATTTATCTAAATAAAAGACTCAAAAATTTACATTTCAAGTAATAACAAAAATGAGCACTCTAAAGTAATGGTCTTTAATGGGGCACTGTTAAGGATGTTGGGCGGCACAGGGAAAATTATCTTTTTAAAGGACAACCAAAACTACAGCAAAAGTAGCCATCAGTCACTCCGCAGAGCAACCAGGCAATTATTAGTTACAAGATAGCCAAAAAGTATCAAACTACTTCATGTAATCTATGACTGGTTGAACAAAAACCTCTAGCAAACTTAATTTTGCTCATACATAAAAATTTATATTCTTTAGCAGTTAATAAAAACCTAATATATGGGTAAAATGTTTGATTTCAACAACAATTAATTTATATTTTATTAATTTTAAAAAAACAAATTGTACTTTTTTATTTCTGAAAAAAAGTAAAAATGAAAATAACTATAATTAAATAAGTTATAAATAAATTATCAGTATATTTCCACAGGAAAAAAAAAAAAATTTAAGCTAAAAATATAAAATTAAAAAATAAAACATTTTATTCAATAAAAAAAAGAAGGTGGAAGCATTTCCAAGAAGCTCATTTATTTAAAAAGCTTTTTACAAATCATTTGTCATAATGTCTCACTTATCTTACTTACAATTTTATGTCTAATTCCTAATGTCTCACTTTTTTCTCTTACAGTTTGGTAACTCTGATTCTCAATGTCTCACTTATCTCTTATAGTTTTTTAAGTCCGATTCTTAATGTCCCTTTATCTCTCCTATAGTTTTGTAAGTATAATTCTTAATTATTGTCATTACCATAGATTTCTAAAAAATTTTATTTTGGAAACATTTAAAACTTTACTTAAAATATAAAATAGGAAAATCTTATACTTCTTACTATAAATGTAGACTTGCTAACAATACTTCTTACTATAAATGTAGACTTGCTAACAATACTTCTTACTATAAATGTAGACTTGCTAACAATACTTCTTACTATAAATGTAGACTTGCTAACAATACTTCTTACTATAAATGTAGACTTGCTAACAATACTTCTTACTATAAATGTAGACTTGCTAACAATACTTCTTACTATAAAAATCTATACATGCGTCAACAAAGATGAAGGTCTAAGTACAGTTTTGAAATAAATTTCTTTAGTTTGTGCAACAAAAGATTTCATGCCTTCATTTGCTAAAACATTTCAACAAATTGAACTGATTGAAATTTTTCAGAAAGTTTAAACCTAAAAACCCAAAGCCTAATTAATTTTTTAATCATTATTTTGATCAATATTATTTTTTAAACATATTTAGAACTCATTGATTGTTGGCTTCACAAACAATGTGTGTACGTGTGTGTGTGAGTGCATGTTCTAGAAAAGTTGAGGGGCTTGAGAAGATTGATTTAAACATTTGAAAACAGTAATTTTGTATATGCACCAAGAAATAAACCAAGTTTTAATAGAAATAATATCAACAAAAAAAAAAGGAAAACACAAAAAATGAAGAAAACATCTATGATGATACCTTCTATAAAAGATTTTGAAAAGCAACAAGCAAAATAAAAGAAGCAAAAATAAAGTAACAAAAAATTCAAAAATACTGAATAGCAATATTTGTGATATTATTAACTTAGAAAAATCCTCATAAGATTACTATAAAACTATTGATAGAAAAAAAACCTTTATAATAATTATATTATTACTTTGACTGATCTCTATATTAAGTGAGATATTTTAATTCTCTACATTGAGACATTTTAATTCTATTATATAAACTTGTTTTTTAAACAAATCCAGGAAAATAATTTTGAAAATATTTGCAAAAAAAAAAATTATAAACACTTAGGTTCTATTTAAACTTTTTCATTGAGTTTTATTTAAAAAAATCCTCAGATATAAAAAGTTTATAGAAAGCATTTTCAAATATACATAATAACATGTTAAACTTTGACTAGAATTTAGTTGAGTACAAAACAAATGCTTCAGATCATCAAAATTGACTGCAAAACTAGAAGAGCCTATGTTTATATTTTATTCAAAATGGTCTATATTTCATTAATATACAAAAACATGATTATGTTTTAACACAAATCATTTATTAACTTTATAATTTTTTAAAACTACTTTTAATATAATAATAACATTAACCTTATTGAAAATAGCAACAAAAATAACACAAATAATAATAATAAAAATTAATATTAATATGCAACTAACTTGATAAAACAAGAGACAAAAATATTTAAAATCAGTAAATAGCCTTTACTTTTTATTTTTCAAATATTAAAAAAAATACCTCCTTATAAAGCCAACTAGAGTAAAAATACACAATCTCAGCATCATGATTACATCTGTGTAATGCTTCCTCAGCCAGTTTAACTATTATATCAGTTGGTGAATGTTTAATATGAATTGACAACAGTAACACCCACCCTTCAACAAAACATGGCTCTTCCTTTACAATGCTGCACAAAACTTGAGTGGCCCTTTTTTGCTGATCAATTGATATTTCAAAAGCAACCAAATTCTCGTGCAAAATAAAAGTAGGTTTTAGAAAAATACTTCCAAAACTTTTTATTGCATCTAGTGAAATAAATTAAAAATTAATTCATTGTATGTAAATTTTTAAAATGTTAAGTTTTCTAAGACTCACCATAAAAAGTGTTACGTATTTCTTCATTGCAAACTGCAAATGTTTTGTATTTCCAATTCAAAACAAACTTGTTTTTATTAACTAATCTTCCGGAATCACTTTGTTCACTTAAAAATAAATTTTTTGGCAATTCATTAAATACTTTTACTGAAATATAACATATCCAGAGCAAGGCTTTATCTTCTATGCCTAACTTTAAGGTTATATCTTCCAAATAAAGTTTCTCAGAACTATTATCAAATGATTCTCTTCCTAGAGCAGATGCTAGGTACCCAACAGCTAATTTTGCTTTATTACGACAAATAAGAAGATGCGCAGCGTAAAGAACTGTCTCAAGTAAACAATGCGAAAAATTTTCTATAGTTTCATTGTCATAAATAAATGTAATCATTTCAGTACATATTTCTTGTTTTCCTAAATAAGTACATTCCAAATTTAAACAAGTCCACCATACATTGTAAGTGCCAGCATACATGACTGCTTGATAACAAAGCTCACGCAATTCTTCTGATGTAGTATTTTTTGCAACTAAATTTAAATATTCTATCCAAAGTTCTTCAGAGTCACGATTTTCTTCTAAACTATTTGAAAGGACACTTAAAGCATGTTCCCTGTTAGATAGTTTATTTTCAATGTCATCTGGTTTACCCTGCTGAAGCCGTAATTTTGCTAAAGATAGCCAAAGTTTAACAGAGCCAGGATCTTTAGTAATTGCAGTCTCTAACATTTCTGAACTATTGTATGATTCAGAAAAATATCGAACTTCTTGACTGGAAAATAATTTATCTAACAATTAAATTAATTACTCCATATACAAATAACAAATATAAATAGTAAAAAGAGCTAACATACCATTCTGATTGCATATTTTGTGAGTTAGAAGATTTTTTTTTTAAAAAGTAAACAGGTTTATAAGATTTCAAATAATGATGATGAACATGAATATCAGGACTTTTGACATTCTGATCTATGAACCAACTTCTGCAGTTAAAACTAATTGATTCATAAGAGGCTTCTTTCTTAGAACGCCTGAACTGTCTTATCTGATTCCAAAGGATTAAAAGTTGTTCTTCTGATGATATCTTACCAGAGTATTGACTTAAAAATTTTTTAGTAAACATTGAAAGAAGGTATTGCTTTTTTTCATTGCTGGCAACTTTATCTGCATCAAACATACTGGGTTCATAAGAAACTAAATCTTTCACCAAATTTATTTGATCCAAGGAGCATTTATCTTTAAAGTGCCAACATGTACAAAGTTTGTCATTACAAGTACCAAAAACCTCATATTTACACATAACTTGATAAGGATTAATTTGATTTGAAAATGTAGCAGATTGTAAGGAGTATTTGGACTGAGTTCGAAAATAAGGACTTAATCTAAAAAAGTAAGTAACTTTTCTTAAAAGCAATATATATATATATATATATATATATATATATACACGAACAAATACACACACACAGACATAGAAACCAAATTTATATAGATAAAAAACAAAAACCTAGAAGTGTTACAAAGTTAACACAAAAAAAAAACTTTAGAACAAAATTCACAACAAAAAATACCTATAGGATTTAAAGTTTGTCAATACACTGTTGTATTTAGAAAACAATTCAAAGTTCCCATATTTAGAATCAGATAAATTACTTCTGTATTTTTTTAAACCACTATCACTGCTTGCTGAACACTTATAAGTAATAGGAACAACTTCAGGAGGTGCAATAAAACTATTGTACTCTAATAAATCAATTAAATTGTCAAAAAAAACTATATAATTGATTGGTGGTTCTGCTGTAAATTGCAAGATTTTTTCCTAAACAAAATGAAACCGTTGAATAAGAGTATTAAAAATAAACTCTTTAAATTGCATAAAACATCTTGTGAATTTAGAACATAAAGTTAATCATTATATTTTATATAGTATTGACTCAAAAAACAAAAAATTAAATATGTATTTAGTGGGATAAAAACATACTTTGTACAAAATATAGAACATCAAAATTTAAAAAAAAAAAAAAATGTTTAGCTGTTTATTTATACATACATTTTTGTTTAACTGCATTTGATATTAATTATAAAAAATCATTTTTGTCGATAAGAAAAAAAAAAAAACTTAAAAAACTTAAAATAATACTTTAACAAAAATATAAACCTGTAATTCTTTTAGATCTGCCATTGACTTGATATTAGGCAAAGCTTTTATAGAAATACTTTGTTCAATAACTTTGTGTGTAGACTTGTGTGGGTCTTTATTACTTTTATTTTTATTGATAGAATCTTCTAACATCAAACTTTTATTTTCTTTCGGAATTAAAGTTTTACACATTTCGGAATTAAAGTTAAACACATTTTTTTGATGATGGGTATCTAACTTCTTCCTTAACAACAACTCAAGTTTTTTCAAATCCATTTTATTCTTAGTGTTAGGTAATGCTTTTTCATTTGTAGATGTAGCGCTAGTATGCGCTGTGGGAGTCGAAAACTAATTGTAAAAAAATAAATGCTTTATTTAAATAGAAATATTATTTGTTTAGTTTCGTAAAATAACATCTAGTTGCTAGTTGTTTAGAAAATATGCAGATTGTCATCAGCCCTTGGAATTCAGAAAAATAAGGTTGCCAAAAAATTGCTAAACTAAAACCGTTTTAGGCCGGGAAAACATTTTAAAACAGGGTTCAACAAATTTACAAAGAGCATTATTTTAGCATAAAGTTAACTGAAAAAAAATACCTGCTTTTCTTTCAAACATTGAAATTTGCTTAAAAATTGATAAACTAAATTTTTGTTGATTTTATTTTAACTGGTTTGTTAACAATTTAATTGTTTGTATTTGGAATTTGAATAGAATGCTCGTTTTGCCATTTTATGTTTTTTTAGGAATTAAATAAAACTTTTTTAAATTTATTTTAATTATTTTAAATAGAATTTACATAAAATAATAGTTTTTTGTTTTGTTTTTATTTTAACTATTTTATTTAGAATTTAAATAAATGTTCATTTTACCATTTTAAATTTATTTAAATTAGGAAATAAAATTTAACTTTAAAATTTTGAATTCAGCTAAAAATTGCTAATTTAAGACACTGTAATGCTGGCAGTTGGGCCGACCTGACAGTGTCTGAAATCACAATTGTAGTATAACATTACATCAAATTCATTGCCAAAAGCCGACCCTAATTCTGAGTGCTGATGTTGTGCTTACATGAATAAAATGTGTAACAATATGAAACTAAATATTATGCTAATGAAAAAAATTAAACAGTTACTTAAAAAATCAGAGGAAAATGAATTCAATAAAAACATTATTTGCATAAACAGTTTGATGCCAGACCTTATTTAGTGGTTGGACAACAATGCCTCCCCAAAAATTTCTAAATACCTACCAGAGAAGGGCAGCTAACCTTGGTTCATTTTATTAGACAAAACATATTTTATATCTATTATTTAGTAATATTTTTGGTATCTCCATAAAAACTTTTGGGGAGATCTTGAGTAATCTGAAGATCTCCTTAAAAGTATTACTAATCACTGGGAACCAAATATTGGTCACTAAATTGCTCAACTTGTTTCTCCGTGCTGGGGCCTTGTTTGTGATGGTTCGTGTTTTGGAGTTATAGAGTTGAGAGAGGGTTGTAAACACAAATAAAGTAGCCTCCTTGACTGTAGTGGCCTTTGTGGCCTTAGGGAGGTGAAATAACATAAATAAAAAAATTTTTTTAAAAAAAAGCACTGTTAATATAATTTAAAAAATTACCTTAGATGTATACCCTTTTGCAGCATAATTTGTTTGTTTTGGCAAATCTCCTTGTGATAAAAAATACGTCAAAGTATTCATCAAACTTTCAACATTCTGCTTCATTTTATCATTCAGAATAACTAAATATTCAGAAAAAATTAGAATAATAAAACTTATTACTATAAAACAATGAACCAGTTTGATTATTTGTAGTTTTTTAGTTTGATTAATAAACCTGGTTATTTGTATAATACTTTTTACCCGCAGTACCAGGAATTAGCTAAATGCTAATGTTTAATAAATATATTTTTTTTTTATTTGCATTCACTCCCAATAAGGCTGCAAGCAACCACTATTAAGTTGGGAGTTACTAGGAAAAAAAAAGAACAGAGTTATAGAGCAAGGAAACGGTTGACAGAAGACTTGAAAAGTTGAAGGTTGTATGAGTCAGGAAAACATGAAGATGGGAGAGAGTTCCAAAGGATTGAAGTGACGGGAAAAAAACTAGATGAATAAAAGTTTTTAGAGCATGCAGGGACAGATACAGTAAACAAATGAGACTTAGCTGAATGACGAGTAAAACGAGAATGAATTTTAGTTGATGGAACTAGAGATGATAACTCCTTTGAGCAGTGACCATGATAGTATCTGTAGAAAAGAGAAAGAGATGCAACTTTACGACGATGGGAAAGAGGTTCAAGCTTAGCAGATAGTCCAGGTCCAACAACATTTACAATGCGTTTTTGGACCTTATCAAGAAAAGAAAGTGAATCGTTAGAAGAACCAGCCCAAATATGACAATAGTATTCCATACAGGGACGAATAAGAGATTTGTAGAGGTAGAGAATGGAATCAGAAGTAAGAAAATGGCGAGCACGATAAAGAGAAGCAACCTTAGCAGAAGCTAATTTAGCAATCGATTGTATATATGGTTTCCATGAAAGGTCAGTAGTATGCAATAATCCAAGAAGACATAAAGAGGACAACTCAGTAAGAGGATTGCCATTCATTAATATAGGAATGTTGACCATATTACGGTAGTTGTTTGCAGTAAGCAACTGGGTTTTTTTAGAGTTGAAATTCACAAGCCACTGTGACCCCAATCTATTACTGAAGTGAGATCGGATTCAAGATCAGCTGCTTGTTCTAGGCAATCGAAAAGAGAAGACTTTTTGTCAAGACAGGAGTATAAAGTTGAGTCATCAGCAAAAAGAGCTACTTTAGATGAAAGGTTGTCAGGAAGATCGTTTATGTAGATAAGAAACAAAACAGGGCCCAGGATGGAACCTTGGGGAACCCCAGAAGTTACTGGAAATAAAGAAGAGTGTTGGCCTTCAAGGATGACTTTAATAAACCGGTTAGAAAGAAATGATTTGATAACCTCAAAAACTTTCACAGAAACACCATATGAAGCAAGCTTATGGAGAAGACCAGCATGCCAAACTTTGACGAAAGCTTTAGATATGTCGAGAGCAATAGCCCTAGCCTCACCGCCTCCATCTAATGCACGATAAAATCTTTCAGTTACAGCAGTTAGCAAGTCGGCCGTAGAGCGAGAGGATCGAAAACCGTATTGATTGTCTGACAGTAGTTTATTTGACTCAAGATGAGATGTGAGGAATTTGTAGATCAAAGACTCAAAGACCTTGCTAATAACAGAAAGAAGACTGATCGGACGATAATTGGAGGGGTCAGAATTTTTTCCAGAGTTTTTGAATATTGGAACCATCAGAAAGCACTTTTTTACATCGATTTCTTGCAATAATAAATAGCCGTTTGTTCTCAAGAGAGTTGTTCTTTTGAAAAAGATGAAAAAAATGATTACGATTGGATATAGCAGCCGCACAAGAAGGAGAAAACCTTGGAGTAGAATGAGGCTTGACTTGAAACCGACGCGAAGGAATAAAAGCTTCCATTCCAGCCTGAATCCAGGAGGTTATGTAGGAGGCGCATTTGTCAGCTGAGAGAGAAAAAACATCAGCCCAAGGACCATCACGAAGAAAATCACGAAAGGAATCCCAGTCAGCTTTAGGATAGTAGTAGGTGGTGCGATGATAAGGTGAGCCCAAAAAAGAAGTACGAGAAGAAAGATTTATAGAGATCATTGCATGGTCAGAACCACCTAAGGGAGAAAAGGGAGAAACTGAACATAAGCTAGGGTCAGAGACAAGACATAAGTCAAGGAGTGAAGGTAAATGATTAAGGTTGTCAGGAAAACGAGTCACAAAGTTAACTATCTGAGTAAGAGATTGAGAAACGCAGAAGTTAAAGGCTTTAGTGCCAGCAGGATCAGTGGTATTAGAACCAAGCCATTCAGTGTGATGGGCATTAAAATCACCAACAACAACAATATTGGCAGAGGGGTAAAGAGAGAGGGCATGGTCAATTTGATAAGGGATAACATCTAAGAGAGTGCAATCATGGGAAGAAGGAGAACGATAAAGAACAAAGAGAAAGGTGATAGAGTGAAGAGGTGCTAGGCGAAAGCACATAAAAGAATAGTCAAAGGATTCGAACCTGATTTCACGACAAATAGGGGAATTAATGCGTATGTATACCCCTAAACCTAGCATGTGACTATTGGAGTCTTTACGAATCAAAGGATAGTACCCATCAACACTGACATCTGAAGAAGGAATTGCAGAATATAAATTTGTTTCACTGAGTGCAAGCAAGTCTGGTGAATTTTGCAGGAGGTAAGACTCAACTGATGGAAAGTTGCTTCGTAGACCGCGAATATTTGTAAAAGATATATTAAAATATTTAGGTGGTGGGGATGGTTTTTTAGGTTTTAAATTTTTGGTTACTTTGGTCATGATTTGGGTTTAATGAGAACTTGACTCATTCATAGATAGAGCACAGCCTCCTAATCAATGAGCTATGCAGTTGTCTCAGTCCTGTTAATTAACCCTAAGCCATGACATAGGGCTCCTTATGTGGCCTTGACAATGCACACCATCCATGCGCAACATGGCACTGTTAATACTCTGATATTTTGCAGCTGTTGATGGAATCAGCCTCTCTGAGAGCTACCACAGAGTTCGGGAAACCTTACTACCAGCCGGCCTCAGAACCATTAAACTGAGTTTTAGAGCTGTACCCTCATATGGAGATAACAGGAAGAGTTGCATAGCCATTATCAAGGAGGCATAAGCAAAATTCTATGAGTAGAGTCAAGGAGATCCAGCATTCATCATCCTAGGCAGAAAACAATGTAACACAGGTTACATCTACGCCAGCCTAATAGATGAAGAAGGGGTTCGAGGCTGGTTAGCAGAATTTTTCTGCTTACCCCTAAAGTCTTTGCCTAGGAGGCCTTCTACAAGACAGTAGCTGGATGCAGTTAACATTTAATATAATATAGCAACTCTGAGTCTCATGTGTTACCACAATCTTCAGGCAAAGAGTATAATATTATAATATATATATATATATATATATATATATATATATATATATATATATATATATATATATATATATATATATATATATATATATACATATATATATACATATATATATATATATACATATATATATATATACATATATATATACATATACATATATATATATATATATATATATATATATATATATATATATACATATATATATATACATATATATATATATATATATACATATATATATATACATATATATATATACATATATATATATATATACATATACATATATATATATATATATATATATATATATATATATATATATATATATATATATATATTTATATATATATATATATATATATATATATATATATGTATATATATATATATATATATATATATATATATATATATATATATATATATATATATATATATATACAGTACTGGACAAAAGTCTGAGACCAAGGGTTGAAAAAGACTAAAAACTGATTTTAACCATAAAATTTTATTCAATGAACAACCATGTCAATTTTTTCCAATATAATTCATATTAGTAATTCAACATAATTCAGAACACAACAATTTATTGTCAGCATCACTGATGATGTGAGGAAAACTGATGAGTAATACAATTGTCATATATGTAGTATGTTGCACGCATAACTTCAGTTCATGCATAATATCAGTTCGAGCACAGATCAGTATTTTAAAAGAGGAGGGATATACAGAGAGAAGCATTGCTGAACGTTTGTCTGTTTTTAAAACTGCAGTTCATAACACAATAACTCGATTGCAACAGACTGGCAGCTTAACTTCCCGAAAAAGATCTGGTAGACCAAAATGTACCTCTATGCAGACTGACCGCTTGATTCATTGCACTTGTACTAATTCTACAATGTCATCATCCACAGTAATACAACACAACTTGCCATCCTCTGTTACTGTTTCCTCCAGAACTATCAGACGAAGACTATCCTCTGATTTCAACCTGCATGCCTGGCGTCCTTCCATTAAACCTAGGCTTTCTGCCAAGAACATCAAGGATCGGATTGCCTTTTGTCAAAAGCACAAAGACTGGACAGCGTTGGATTGGGCGCGAGTTATGTTTTCAAATGAAAGTCAAATAAAGCAGTTTGCTCCTCTTCATTCTTTTGTTTATAGACCTGTTAATCAGCGACTGAATCCCAAGTACACCAAATGCAATGTTAAACAGTGCCAATCAATCATGGTCTGCTAACTGCAGGTTAGAGAAATTTTGCTTTGCCCTGCAAAGATTTGATTTTGATTCTTTGTATGAGATAATCGAAAATCATTGAGGCAATCGAAATTTATAGAATAAAGTTGTTCCATCATTCAAACAAAAAGTTTTGAAAAAAAAAAAAAAAAAAAAACTTTTTTAAAATACTTAGTTTAATGAATAGTAATTCATTTTATAGATTAAAAAGAATATTTAACTACAATTTAATTCACATGGATTAGGTACAAAATAAAAAAACGTGATTGGATTGAGTAAAAATAAATGACATGATTGGATAAAAATATGAAACGTTACAGCGCTTCATATTTCTGCTTCAAAAAAAAGCATTACCTTGTTTGTTTTTTTGGTCCGCAAAAAATCGATGAGTTCAAACAGTTTTAGGTTGGCATTGCCAAATGCTGACCCTAATTTTGAGGTCTGTATATGATATATTGTGACCATTAAAAATTATTTTAAAATGTGTAAACAAATACTTTTGTCATAACTGTATTACCCCCATTATTATATTATTATTGATCAAGCAAATAATAAATCCTAAAAAAAATTATAATGAAACCTGAATCTTCAGTAGCGATACTAATAATACTTTTTGCTTTAAGAATATTTTCATCAACACTGTTTCGAATCGCTATTTTTTCTTTCAATCGCTCCTTGACAACCTTGAACTAAAAAAAAAACAATATTTATTTTCAAAGATTGTTTGTAGAACTTATCCAATAATCATCATTGAAACTTAAGAATCAGCTGAATCTTTAGTATTTTCAATATTTAGATCGTTGAATATTTTTTTTTAAAGTTTTGCCAGGCATTAACTTATTTTGCAGATTAGGACTAAGCACCTGCTTCTCTAAACGATACTAAACAAAGTTTAAATAGTTAAAAGAATTGTTTGATGAAGTCAATACAAAACAAGATCTTTTCTATTTTTTAATTAGTTCCAAACATGATATAAGTTTTATTTTGTTTTGTTAAAATCAACCCAAAATGAAATAAGATTTCAACATTTCAGAAGCAAAAACGTAAAAAATAAATTAAACAAAAAGTTTTAAAAATAAAAAAAATGAAAATAATAAAAATGATTGGACTTTCTTTGTGGATTGCAAAATGTAATCAAAGATGTAAGTTTATGGGTAAAAATGACAAAATGCATGACCAATCATGGGTTTTAACAATGGAGTTAAAGTAAAACAATTATAACTAAAACCTGAAGAACTTATGTTTGCAAAGGCTATGAAGATTGCTGTTATACTCAAAACTCATAGTAACTCAGGAAGCACAACAGTTAGTTCTAATCATGTGGTTGCTGCAACATCATGACTTCCCTAGAAAACTGACTTAGCCAGCACAAAAACAGCTACAAGTTTTATTTGTGGACAATTAGGATATTATGCACAGGACCGCAAAGCAGCATAAAATAATGCAATGAATATAAGTTCTGAGCTATATAGTGCTTCAAACGAGGATGAAAGTTAAAAGGAAAAGGGGGAATTCAGATAATGACATCCAGTTTTATCACGGAAACATCATTGTCATCATTATAAATAAAAATTAAGACAATGCTTTGAAAAACATTAATCAATTCAGGATGTTCCATCATAGTGGTTCATATTAAATCTAAACATGGCCTAGTTACAAAAAGTCAAACTTTCATCACAACATGGTGAGGAACTGTGCAAGTATCAAGTGAAATGGTAATCAAAATGGAAATTGATAGAGTTAACTAGATGATCTGTTTCATTTCTGGAATATATATAATCGAAAAGTTTGGAGGAGCTGTCATCTATGGTGATAAAAAAAGTACAGTTTGAATGTTAGCATGTGCTACAGAAAAAAAGGCTTTGTATTTTATAAAAAAAAATTTTAAGTACTTGTTATTTTTACAATTAATAACAATTTATATATATATATATATATATATATATATATATATATATACACACATACTTCTTTATCAATTATAATTACAATGTATTTATACACTTGTATACTTCACATATGAGAGGTGGAGCAGGGGATTAAACCCCACAACACTACAACTGGCACAAAAATGGCACAAGTGACATTGTTTAGAGCCATGGCCATTATATTATTTATAGTAAAGAAAAAGAGAAGCAACATTACGGTAATATGATAATGGTTGGCGGTTGGCTGTAAGAGCAGGTCCCAACTTTGTAAAAACATTTTCATACCATAGCAAATTTTTGAGAGGATATATATAATCATTTAATCTGAACTGAGTAATTTTATAGTAATACTAATAGGATTACCATACAAGGTTAACAAAGATTTCCAATAAAGTTAACAAACACCTACCCTTACCACAATTAAATTTGAATTTTTTTTTTTACTTTTTATTAAATTAAATTAAACAAATAAAAAATAATATTAACAAGAAAAAAGAAAAAAAAATTAAAATTTAAAAACAAACTTGAGCATGCAAATCATTATGAATTTTCTTTGTACGATTTCTTTCTTGAATAGCTGCCTGAAGTTTATCCTGTAGTTGTTTCACTGAATCATTGATTGCTGTGAAAGATGAGCGCTTTTCGTTTATAACTTTTTGCAATTTTTTGTATGCCAGCTGATCTTTCACTATACTTGAACTAAATGCATAATACAAAAAAAAAAAATTTTATTAAAGTCATAAATTATAATTCAAAACTTTATATTTAAGTCATAAACTATTGACCAATAAGAATCTTGGCATGCAGAATGTGTTTCTCTTTTCATTCTGTGTTTATTTCATAAAGAAACCTTAGAATAAGCATCTGGTACACTTAATAAATCTATTAGCATAAAAGAAATTAAACTTTTAAAAATTCAATAAGAATTTTATAAAATAAAAACTGACAATGCTTGATAATAATAAAACTACATATAATAACATTTTTTTTACATAAATACAATTTATATAAGAATAACATTTTGATTAAAAACAAAATTTTGATTTAATATAATTTAAATACAGTTATTTAAAAAATTGTTGCATACGTTTTCAAGAAATGGAAAGAAGCTTGTACATATAAACGGGACGACTGAATAAGTGCGAATTTCATAAGTGCGAACTGGCATAAGTGCAAATGGCGTAAGCACAAACTGGCATAAGTGCGAATCGACATATGTGCAAACTGGCATAAGTGCAAAGCGTTGCAAAAACTGGCATAAGTGCGAACTGGCATATGTGCGAATTGGCATAAGTGCGCCGAAACATTTTGCAAACATTGGCATAAGTGTGAATTGGCATAAGTGCGAATCAGTTACAAAAACTGGCGCAAGTGTGAACTCGCATAAGTGTGCCAAACAAACTCGAAAACATTGAAAACATTGCGCAAGTGCGAACCGGCATAAGTGCGAAGCAGTTACAAAAACTGGCATAAATCACACTTATGCCAATTCGCACTTATGCCAATGTTTGCAAATTTGTTTGGCGCACTTATACCAATTCGCACTTATGCAGCCTCCCGAACTACTCTCTATAAAAAGATCTTATACGCATTATATTATATGTTGCTATAAATAAAAATGTTAGGACACAATATAAATAAATTTTTAACTTTACTAATGAATCTATAAAATAAATTTCATGTTCAACCAATTTTACTTTAATTTTTTTTTTACTATGAATCAGGAAAAAAAGATGAAGGAAGCAAAGTCCAAAGAACTTACAGGGCGTGACAAATCTTTTTTTTTAATGGACGTTGACGTTTGTATCTTAAATTATTGACAAATGTCTAATTTAAGTGATAGATGTCAAATAAGGTAGATTTATAATCAAATAAATTTTTATTCTAGTTAATAAGTTTTTGGATATATCAAAGATACATACTGAATTTGATCAATTGTTTTCACGCATTTGCAAAGTGCACGCAAATTATTGATTATTATTATGCAAGGATTGTAAACTGTTACCCAATGATATAAAACTTTTTTTTTTAATTTAGTTTGTTAAATTTATTTACTCTTAAAACATATGTATAAAAGTGAAGAAATTAAAATAAACGGAACTAAAGAAATAAATCACAAAATGACGTGTCATTAATAATGTATTAACTTTTATATATATATAAATGGATTCAAGAATTGCTAGAACTTTTTAATTTATGGCCTTCCAAATGTCTAATACCAACGGCTGAGTCAATCCAATTTTTGACATGTTTTTGGGTCAAAAAGTCTTCAATTAACTGGCCATCAAGCTTTATACGCATATTATCCTCTAAGGTGTTGTCATTTAATGAAATTCGCAAAATATTTTTTTGTAAGTTCATACAAGAAAAACTGTGTTCACAACTTGCCATTGAAGCACTGAAAGTTAGCATAATCTCTAACAAGATATTTATACTAGCCAATTCAGGTTCATTTTCCAGCAAGATATCTCTATAAATGCTCAACAGCGAATTTGTCCTTAGTTTTAGAGACTTTCTCCCTGAATAAAGGCCACTGAAATACACATAAGTAAGAAGTTTTTCTGCTTATCATATTATTCTCATAAAAGTTGCAAACACTTTTTATTTCATTAATTCCCCTTTTTTTTTGTCTCTAGCGAACCTGTAAAATATTTTGGCTAGTTAAAGATTTTAATGGCTCTTGATTGAAATCGCAGTGGAATTGCTTGTCTATATATTCTTTTGCTCCGTCAATAATTTTAATAAAATATTTTTTATTATAATAATCATAATAATCATTTGGTTGTTGCCTAACAATCTCATCAATTCTCTTTATACTACGCTTGTTTAATGCTGTTAAAACAATACCTTTGTAGATTAAACGATCTTCTTTTACTTCTAAATTATCTAGTAAACACCCAATATTTGAGCCTGGATTAACTGATAACGCGTCTAGTACAGCAATTCTTGTATCAACTTTATGCAACATCTCACAAAAATAAAATTTCTTCTTTTTAAACTCCAATGACAATGTTGTTAGTGATTCAACAATATCTTGAATAAAATCTAAATAAAATAAACATTGTGGGTCTTTCGTGAAACACAAAAATCCTTTAGCTTTCTATGCAGTTTCGTCTTTCTCATTTCCCTTGTTTTCCTCTTTCTCCTTGTTTTCAAATCATAAATAATAACTTTATAGCCAGTTTCAAGCAATCTTAACGCTCTTTTCTGGCTAGCTAACCAACAAATATTTTTCAATCTCCCAAGCTGTTTAAACTCTTCATCTAAAAAAGAAACTATTTCTTTCAGTTCCTTTCTTCACTGCAGTGAATAATAGTAAAAAAATTGCATAGATATTGTTTAAATATAAATCTTTATTCATTTTGTCTGTTGTTAAACTTTTCAAAACAAATTCTATTGCATTTAATATAACATCGGCATCAACTGTCAGTGGTGAGTTAATACCAAAAAATATAGTTATTGGATTACCATTTTTAAAAAACCTTAAAAAAACTGTTTCTTGTTCACTAATGCTCTTATCAGTAGAACGGTCAGATAAAATTGCAATAAAACGAGCATTTGATACATCTAAAATTAAGTTGCATTTAAAGTCAGACGAAATTGACAAAACAAAGTTTTTGCAAGCCTTGTCACTTAAGCAGTTCTTGCCCAACTTAATTCCATTTAGCTTTTGTAGCTCGTACAGCTGAGGAAATTTTTTAAATGCAAGATCCTCTTTAACAACAAAATATGATATCCGAAAAAGTCTGTTCAAATCTTCTTGGTTATTCTCAGTACTTTTTAAAATTGATGTTAATACAGTTTACTCAAGACTTTGAGCTATATTGTGAAGGTTCTCTTGATATTTAGAAATACAGGTTTATGCCCATCATCTTTATTGTGGCATAACAAGTATGTTTTTTTCCAAAACTTACATCTCATTGTTGCTGAACTGGTTCCATTGCTAATATTTGGATACTTTTGGCAAGCCTAACAAAGAGAAACGCTAATTTGATTTGTCAATATGAATCCAGTTTAGTTGTTGCCCGTGTTTTTTATTGCTTGGCGGCAATCCATTTATGGTGTTCCAAAACAAAAATTCAATATCTTTTGGCCATATATTCAATTTTCCAAAATTCATAGCACAATCCAAGTCATTGCACTTTTTTTTTGCATGCTTAGTTTCTCTCTCTTCTTCTCCTTTACATTTAATGCTACGCTCCTATGTACCATCTTTCTTTAACATCGAAAAAATGTTTAGATGTTTTGACATTTTTTTAAAAACTTTAAAAATAGTAATATACTAAGTATTTACTAAGTTAATAAAAAGATCATATTATTGGTGTTATTAACGCACAATAAAAAAATTATAATTATAATAAACATAATAACTTTATATATTCTAATAAATTATGTAATTTTTAGCAAAACTTGAAAAATATCTTTTAAACTTTTATAAGTTTTTTAAATATGCAAACAAACATTTCTTAACTTTAAGGAAAATAAGAAAAAAAAAAAAAAAGCATGCAATTGAACAAAACAACCGTTAAGTTTAAGCATGGTTTTTTTAAAAGTAATTGCAAATGCAGTCATTTTAAGTAAAATTTTAAATGCTTTTGTAAACGCATGCAAAAACCAAGCCCAAACATAATTACTTTCTTTGTTCCATGGAAGAAAGTAGTTTTAGCATGGTTTCTTTTTAAGTCTTTAAAAATGTGTTTGAAATTTTCATAATTAATTGTTTTTTTTATTGCAATTATGTGCTTTTCATAATGAATAAAAAATGATCAATCGCTTAACTATTTGGAAAAAAAAATTGCTAAAGTAATGAGTTTGTTTTAACAAATTTTAAGTGAACGCCAACATTTGCATAAGGAAAAGTAAAGGAATGTGACATTGTTTTTCTGTCTTATTTAGTAGACGCTCGCTTGTTTGTTGATTTTTCGCGCCCTGACTGATGTTCAAAGAAAAAAACTAGACAAAAAAGAATCTTTGGAGCACTTAGGAACAGTCAAAGTAAAAGGATGAGACTTAGTTAAATGATGAGTAAAACGAGAATGATTTCAGTAGGTGGCACAAGAGACGCTAGCTCTTTAGAGCAGTGGCCATTATAGAATTTATAGTAAAGATAAAGAGAAGCTACATTATAACAATGTGATAATGTTTCGAAGTTGGCTTTAAGAGCAGGTCCAACTATGTTTACAATGTGTTTTTGCATCTTTTTCAAAAAGAGAAAGGGCATCATGGGAAAATCCGACCCAAATATGGCAACAGTATTTCATACAAGGACGGATACACACACATATATATACAACTTTTTTTTTTTAACATCTTCGCTTTTAACAAGGCTGCAAGCAACCACTAATTAGTTTTGGAAGTTAATGGAAGAGAAAAGATGAAGATTATAGAGCAAGATAACGATTGACAGATGACTTAAAAGATTGCAAATTATATGAATCAGGAAAGCAAGATGAAGAAAGCAAATTCCAAAGAACTGATGTTCAACGAAAAAAACTAGACGAATAAGAGTTTTTGGAGCACTTAGGAACAGTAACAGAAAAAGGATGAGACCTAATTAAATGACAAGTAACACGAGAATGAATTTTAGTAGATGGCAAAAGAGACGCTAGCTCTTTAGAGCAGTGCCCATTATAGTATTTGAAGAAAAGAGAAAGAGAAGCAACATTACGACGATGTGACAGAGATTGAAGGTTAGGTCC